CTTGCTTGCTTGCTTGCTTGCTTGCTTGCTTGCTTGCTTGCTTGCTTAGCACAGACATAGGCTATACACACCCCAACAAACTGCATCTAGCCTGTGCCGAACAGAGGCAGAAGGTTCATGAGAGCTGGCTGTAAGCACAGCATTTTCACCGTGGCGTTCACCATTGTCACTATCAAGTGAATAGACGGACCCGTACTATGCGTCATTGACCCTCAAGACTTAGTCAATCTTGTGGCCACACTTCAACGTACAGAAACACAGCACACATAGCACGTTCTTTTTACCTCAGTTAAGCTGAACGTTCGTTACCAACGGTTGACCGCCTTGCTTTGCGGACTTTGTGCCCCAACAGCTCTACATGCTGGGTTGTGGCAGTTTAATTGAGAAGTGAACCACGTAACTTTAGACACATACAAGCAAGCTCGCCAGACATAGACGATGGGAGAAACCACCATGAAAGGCGTCAGGAGTTTGGAAGAGAAAAAGACTTCAGGGATCTAAAAATGGAATGCAGAATCAGTAGGGCTAGACAAGATGTAAGGGGCTGCGCCAAGAGTCCAAAACCATCGGTCAGGGCTGTGCTCCGTAAGGTTCTCCAAGATTCCAGGGTTCCAAGGGCCTGAATCAAATACAATGAATGACTCAGAAGGTTCTGAGAGCAACAGCGAAGAAAAAAGCACTGAGGAAAGGGGCCTGCAGCCATTCATTTTTGCTAATATACGGACTCAAGAAAGGACTTCATGATAAACAAGGGTTTCTACGAGAACAGGCGGTGAATATACGGAACCTCAGGTGTAAAACATGTTTCTTGTCAGGTGGTGTTGCACGCCCAAGCCAGTCAGACGGTTTGCTGAGGCTGTCCTGCCTGCGAGATCCGGAGCTGTTCTGCTGCCTGCGTTCAGGCGAATATATTGAAACAGAGGTGTTGTCCATTCGTGACACAGAGGTGTTGTTTCTTCCAGACGCCTTTGTGTATCACACTTTTGTGAGAACCCCTTCTTGCTCGCCATGTCCCCCACAACATATGGCCCGAGAGCTGAAGGCATCGACCCTTGTTGCATGCCTTGCCATGGATGCTGACAAAGCGGCCATCGCTGCAGCGCTGCAGGAACTTGGTGAAGACTTCGATCCAGATGCTGGCTTCGCAGTGGTTCCATTGACAGAATGCCCTCATGTCACAGCATTGCCTGCCCGGGAGATCTCCATGAAAGCTCGATGTTCTGTGTGCAAGGAGGAAGAAGTTTGGTTGTGTGGGAGCTGTGGCCAGGTGTTGTGCTCCCGCTACAAAAACAAACATATGTTGGCACATGCTCAGGAAGAAGGGCATTCAGTGGGTCTCTCATTTTCAGATCTCTCATTTTGGTGCTTCAAATGCAATTCCTACCTCGATGTCTACGCAATACCCCAGCTTCATGACCTGTACAGGGCTGCTCATTTGGCAAAATTTTGTCACGAGCCTCCTCTTCCAAGCATAAGTCGGACTCCGGCCGAAGACTCTGGAGCCGCCAGCAGTTCAGGATGAAAGAAGTGAAAGCGCCAGTGGGGCCAGCATGTGACATGGATATTTATTCAACCCGTTGCCTTGGCCAACATTTCACAGGTCTATTGCTTTGGCCTCCAACCTACTTGTTACTGTCTACTGCTGTGCTTTTTTGTTCTGGTCCAGGCGCACAAGTCACAGTCTGGCTGCACCGGAAAGCGACCTAGAACTGAGCGCGTGGCACCATTGAATGCTTTCACTGACAACGCTTGGGCCTTGGATTGTCAGTTACTTGCTTTGCATCCTGCAGATTTCTGTATGCTTCTGCATCGCAGAAGGTCCTTCTGCGAGACTTTGGACTCTTAGAGGAAGTGGATGCAGCTGTCGACCGTGCTGACAGAGACTTGCGGATCCGAGACGAGGATTGTGCTGAACATGCTGGCAATGTGGACAACAGAGTCAGAGAGGGGTCATAGGAAGAAGTCTTGTCCGTTTGAGGTTGAGAAGTATGAACATGGTCATAGTAGTTGGCTTGCTGAACATACTTGAGACCCTGCAGGAGATGAGACTCTATCAGCCGAGGTTAGGCAAAAACCTCTCACATGTCGTTCAAGAATCTAAGATGCCTGACACGGCAGGCGGCACAAGCAGCGCATACAACTGGCACGGGCCTGTGCAGCACCGGAGCGGCAAACAAGGCCTTGACAGCCACAGGGCCTACACTGTCCTACAAGTTTGGGTGATTCTGAGTCAGCCTGCAATGCCAAATTCATGGGAGGCTGATCCTTGCGCCTTTTGCTATGACCATCGCTCAAGGGAATACTTCCAAGCTGGTGGATGGTGGCAAGGGACGGAAAGGTGAGGGCCCGCAAAAGGTCTCAGATTCGTGCTTGCTGCTTGGAGCGTCCAGGCAAGGGCAAAGGCTCGAAGAAAGGCGCAGACAGAGAGAGAGAGAGAGAGAGAGACAGACTTGTGTAAGACAGCCCAGTGCAAAGTAAAAAGGTAGCAAAGTCTGAGACCTACTAGCGATGGCCTCCAACCTAAGAGCGATGGCCTCCAACCCAAGAGCGA